ATTGGTTATTTGTAACAAAAGGTATTATTGCAAAAAAGACTAATAAATTACCTTATTAATTAAATAAATCTGATATCTTTATGAACAATTATTTAATTTTTTCAGATTTGAGGCATGCGGTAAGTCATGTAACCCGGCCTACGTACGTACGTACGTAGAACCTGGATTCTAATAACCGAATTTTATTATTATTAATTTATAATTAATTATATTAATTTTATTATTATTATTATTATTATTACGCATTATTATTGTTATTATTATTACAGTATATAATTTATTATTTTATTCAATCTTATATGCTGAGGTGCTGAGGTTAAGTGTGCAAGTACTGTAATTTTTTTTTTTTAAAAAAAAAAAAATAATAAAAAGTAAAAAAAGGATAAACCATGATTTAATGATAACCAACGTTATTCTCCTTGTCTCAGGTCATACAGATTTTTGCATAACTCTCCTAATTATCCTAATTATAAAAAAGATTTTTTTACCTATTTGTGTGGATCAAATGTTTTTCATACGCATCATAGCGTGTCAATACGTCAATACCCATATCGAGGTTTTGATGTGTTACAGCAGAAACGTGGTTTTAAGACCGTAATACAGGTAACGATAACGGTAACATATAACTAACACCATATAATTATTTTGCAGCACAGAATAAAAACCAACTTATTTAGAGTTATTTATGTATGTTGATAGTCCGTAATGAATTACTTTGATTTTTTTTGATGTTTACTACCAACCACCAACCACCTTCGTTAAATCGTTGACAAAGAAAGATTTTTTTTTTTCTTGAATAAATTCAAAGAAAAAAAAAAAAAAAACAAAAAAAAAATATTGTACGATATAATTACAAAGGACGTTGAAGTAGGAAGAAGGGCAAGTTAAAGGTCCTCTTCTTTAGTTGCAGGCCAATAACATTACAAAATAAGTTGTTCGCTCGGTACAGCTAATGCGATCAGGATCTCAATGCTGGACACCTTCAAGACAGAACCTAGTTGGGTTCCTCAATACTGTCGGTGAGTAATATTTGAAGGTTGTCAGGTGAAAACCATGAAAACCAAGTGGTCTAAATGCAGAATAAATATTTATAATAATATATATTTAGCCTTTTTGGTTTTCACTTGGCCGCACTCATTCATAACAAATGTATTGTCTAGCTTTATAAGTTACATTTATCGTATTTTAACTCGTATCTTATTTATATAAATTCCTTTACATCCGATCATTGATGTTTACAATCTTAGTTTCTACTTAAATATTCATAGATGTGAGGATGTATTTTTTTATGAAATTGTAAATTATTGTTCAATAGCTCTCGCTTCCATATTGGCAATTATTGCCGGGGGTCTTTGGTGGAAAAGACGCTTTTACTTAAAGTCTACACAAAAAGTATCGAGTCTTGATGGCTTTTTGATATGGCAAGTTCTGCATGCATTAAGTAAGTTTAATAAAAACATTCCTTATTTGTTAAAGCTTAAGTATGTTCTAACTTTCTTGGTTTTTTCCTAGCTCGAATTGCAAGTGATATCATTATTCTTATTGGTTTGCCTCAAAATGATGATGCAGTATTAGAGCTTGTATATGATTTACCATATTATTGTGATTCAGTGTCAATAATTCTGTTCATGATCGGAATGTAAGTGTTTAACGTTAGTACCTGTTTCTTACTTTATTTGGTATGCTGATTATTATTTCTTTTTTTAATACTGTACCGTTAAAAAAAGATTAAGCGCCATTCCACATACAAGATTTGCGGGTAATGGGATTCAAAAATCTCCCAACTCAAAAAAATCATTTCGAATTACTATATCATCCCATAAAACCATGATATGGTTTTTTCGTATTTATTCGGTCATTATTTTTCCATCACTTGCTACTCTTGGATTGCTCACTGGTTATTTTCGTTCCCAATGGTCTCAGGCTCCACAGCCATATCAGCAACAAGATTTTAATAATATGAATTTTGAAACTCGTATGAGCAGTGCGCATTATATGGTTCATGCTGTTGGTAGCGCTTCATTATCCTTTTGTTTTATTTATTTTGGAAGAAAAGTTAAAGGATTTGCTGAAGCTAGTATTGCTTTATTGATGGATACCGATATGGATTCTAGTAAATATGGTCGGTTAAGACTGATGAGAAATTCAATAACAAGGGTAATTTATTTTTTATTAATTATTATATTCTCAATTTTTTATAAATATTATGAACTAATTTTTATATTTATTACTATCTTTTTATTTATTTATTTATTTTATTTTATTATTATCATAGTTGAATGTTATAAATGGTTTTTTTTGTGCAAAATATTTATTAGACTGTTTTGGTGCAATTGCGATATCTTTATATCTTAATGTAATTTTAGTAACCCCATGGGCATCCAAAATTGTCTCCGTTCTTATTACCATAGTATCTTCATGTTCAATGATTTTATGCATAATTTTAGTCTTATATGGTCCAACAAATCCAGAAAATGCCTTTGATCTTAGTTTTATACAAGTGTCACCATCACAACGTCACTTTTCTTTCGGGATATGGAGTGTCTCTGGTGATTCAAATAACCAACAGTTTGATAAAAATGATTCAGTTCTTTTACCGCCACCACCTTCATATAATGATAACGAACAAGAAACATCAAGAAAATCACCTATGAAACGTAATTATCGATATAGTTTGTCTTCCTCATCAGTTAATCGCAATTCAATATTACCAGAAATTGTGGTATCAACGCCAGATGTTGCATCGGCAAAAAAAACAACCAAGAATGGTGAAAAGTCGGACTTTGTTACTGCCTGGATATTAGACCAACATGAAAGGACAACGGTCACCGATTGAAATATATGTACTTAGTGAACTTTAAGATTCTTGTCATTAATCTATACCTTGGTTATTTCCTTCATCTGTAATATTTTCTTGTATTTTCTGTATTTCTGTATTTTCTTGGTAGAGGATTGAATGTATTTGATTGTATTTACTTAGAATTCCATCATTTTGAAGATAAAGTAATGATAGAAACCATATGACTCCTAGGATTTAATGATAGTAAAAAAGAATTATTTTGGGTTCAAAAGATAGAACGGTTTCTTTATCATTCTAATTCATCAAAATAACGATTTTTCCATATATTCATACTTCATTCTTGGGTTTTGTTTTTTTTTTTTGTTTTTTTTTTTCCTTCATTCTTTATTTTTTCCATTTAAATTTAAATTATAATTGTTTATAAACTATGCAGGCAATCACTCTTTTACAAAACAGAGTGTGCTAGTCACCTCTAAAAAAGAACCATTACCATTATATATCAAAATAATTTATCACGTTCTTTAATTCGATTCAAATTAAAATTATTTTTACATTCATTATATTGACAGAATTTTAGTAGTTTTCATACATTTATTTGTGATATTGATCGATCATATTAGAAAAATTAATAAATTTTTTTTATAATGTAAATGAAAAAAAAAACTTTATAAAGACGCGTTAACTCTTTCATAAACTATTAAGCAATTGCCAATGATGATCATACCTTGGCTGCATTTTATTGATTGATAAAGTTATGTAAAATTGCTTAATAATATAGATAATCGAACATCTGATAAAGAAAATGGAGTAAATACATTTAATAAGTGAATTCAAGAAAAAAATTTTTTTTTGATGTATTAATGGCCAAAAATTTGAGAATGTTATGTTGTTTTCATAGGTTTGAATACTATTGTTATATATTATCATTACCACTATCAAAACTATAATTATTTTATAATAATTTACAAATATATAGTAGCAAATTAAGATGATCCACAAACTGTCCCATAAAAAAAAATAATCCAATTAAAAAAAAAAAAGGGTATATGATTAAATTACTAAATGTTGATAAATGTTGAGGATTTAAACTAAATAAAGATTTTAAAAAGTTGTTATACCTAAACGAATGGAAAAAATATACATGTAAAAAAAAAAATTATGCAAATTATAAGGCCCATAAAGAAAAATAATTCTAGAAAGTCTAATATTTTTCTAACTTTACCCATAAAAAGGATTAAGTTTTCATTTTAGCGTGTAATATATATATATATATATATATATATATATTAGCATATTATCTATTCCAAATAACTTCTTCCATCCATCATATCGGCTTCAGAACGAGCTTTACGCTTTCTATAAGCTCGAACTGCCAGTACTGTTGCTGCTGTGTATAAAAATGCAGATCCAAGAACTGCTCCCATAACTAATATTGTATTTTGTGATGTTCCTGCTGGTACAGTCTTTTCACCTTTTTTGTTATCACTATTATCATTAACCTCTAATTCGTCTACTAAGCTAGACATTTGAGAGTTTTGATAAAAACTGCTATTTTTATCGCTTACAATGTTTGACAAATCATCAACAGAATCCGTGGGAATTGCAAAATTGACCTTAACACCATCATTGTCACAACGTTCTATGCTCAGAATTTTTACATCATCAGGAGAGATTCCAAGTGAATCTGCGACAGAATTTTTAATTTGAATTTCTATGGCAGCAGGAATGTTTGTATCTTTGACCACCGACTCCCATGAAAGAGCTGGTGACAATGTCAGGCTTAATTTAGAAAAATCTTCTATAAGATTAAATAAAATCGTCAGTATTTTATAAATATTTTTATAAAAGGTTTATTGTTCGAAAACTTACGTGGAACGTCCGAAGATGAATCTGGGGTTAAAATCTTAGAGGGATAATCAGTGGACACTGGACGGTTAGCTGTCTTGGTGCTTGTTTCCAAAGGCAATGTAACACTTGCAGCCGGGTTAAAATGAACCCTTGTGGCAGACGTTACACTACTCGTAGGATCCGCAGGATCATTTTTCACAGCAGCATTAGGTGAACTTGGTTGAGCACTTGGTTGGATAGATGGAGGTTCTGTGGAACTTGGATGGGAAACAATGTTAGGTTGATTTGCCGTATGACTTGGTTGATTAATTAATAAATCTCCAGTGGAACTTGGTTGATTTATTGTGTTAGGATTTGTATTTTCCATGATGCTTTTTGGAGAATCAGTAGGTTTTGATGGCGAATCTGTGTGCATGGAACCTGGTGGCGGACCCGTGAAACTTGGTGAAGAACCTGTGGGACCTGATTTAGAATCCACGAAGTTTGATGGAGAACCCGTGTGACCTTGTGGAGAATTCGTGGGACTTGATGGATGATTCGTGAGACTTGGTGAAGAACCCGTGGGATTTGATAGAGAATCCGCGTATTTTGGTGGAGAATCCGTGCTTTGTGGAGAATTCGTGGAACTTGATGGAGGATCTGTAGAATCTTGAGGACCCATGGAACTTGAAGAATCTGTGGGCCTTGATGGACTTGGTGGAGAATCTGTAGAATTTTGAGGACCCATGAAACTTGAAGAATCTGTGGGCCTTGATGGAGGATCCGTGAGAGGATTCGTAGGACTTGGTGGAGAATCTGTAGAATCTTGAGGACCCATGAAACGTGAAGAATCTGTGGGACTTGATGGAGGATCCGTGAGAGGATCCGTAGGACTTGGTGGAGAATCTGTAGAATCTTGAGGACCCATGGAACTTGGAGGATCCGTGAGATTTGAAGAATCTGCAGGGTCTGTTGTGATTGGATCATGTGAAACTGCAGGGTTTGTGGGAGTTGGACCTTGAGAATCCGCAGACTTCGTGGGGATTGAATCTTGAGAGTCCATAGAATCCGTAGAATGCGGATTTTTTGAATCTGCAGGGCCTGTGGGGGTTGAGTCTTGAGAATCGGCCGCATCCGTAGAAATCGAATCTGAGCCTGTGGGTGTAGGTTCATCGGCTACAGTTTTATCATTATTTTTATCTGTATTTTTATCTGTGTTTTTATCTGTGTTTTTATCTGCATTTTTATCTGCATTTTTATCTGTATTTTTATCTGTATTTTTATCTGTATTTGTGGGACTGGGCTCAGGAACAGATTTACTGGACTTGGGATCAGACTTATCTTTAGTTGTATCTGCTACATCCACGGAACTGGGCTCAGGAACAGATTTACTGGACTTGGGATCAGACTTATCTTTAGTTGTATCTGCTACATCCACGGAACTGGGCTCAGGGTCGAGCTTATGGTTA